CTGTGGTTGCAACAATGGCCTCCACACTTTGCTGCGCTTGCTCTGCAACTGCATTGTCTTTCATAGCCGGTTCATGAGGCAAGGCTTGTTCTAGTGTGCTGGCATCTGTTTCTTCTGTTTCTGCCACGCGGCTTGTCTCCTCTGTCTTGTCAATCTTTGCGTGTTCCTCCACAGTGGTGGTTGCATCCGTGGCCTCCACACTTGACTGAGCTGATCCAGTCCCAACTGTGTTTTCCATTGATAGCTGATGAGGCAAGGTTGGCTTTGAACTCATCTCATCTGCCTCCGCATGTGTCGCTGCTTCTGTATTGTCAATCACTGCGCTGTCTGCCTCGATGATGATTGCAACAGAAGCCACTGCACTTGGCTGAACGGTTGGCTCAGCTTGCTCTGCACAAGTGTTGTCTTTCATTGAGGACTCATGAGGCCCGGTTTGCTCTAAACTCGTCTCACCTGCTTCGTCTGTGTGTTTCTTTTTTGCTGCTTCCTCTGTCTTGTCCAGCACTGCGTTTTCTACCTCCATTGTAGCCCCCGCAGCTGGCTGAGCTTGTTCGGCACCAACCGTATCTTCCATTGATGGTTCGTGGGGCACGGTTTGCTCTAGTGTGCCCTTAGTTGCTGAGCAAGCTTCTTCTATGTGTGCTACTTCCTCTGTCTTATCAACACCTGCACGTTCTCCCTCCACTGTGGCTGTAAGAGAATCTGCACTTGGCTGGGCTTTTTCCACACCACTTTTGCCCTGTACTGATGGCTTATGAGACCCCCACCTGCTTTCATCTGCTTCTTGTGCTTGTTCGGCACATGTTGTTCTCTCTGCCTTGTCAATCTCCGCGCTTTCTGGCGCCACAGTGGCTACAAAAGGAGCTTCCACACTTGCCTGAGCTTGCTCCCCAACTTTATCTTCCACGGATGGCTCAACAGGCCAGGTTGGCTCCAAACTCTTCTCCTGTGATTCTTCTGCTTCTGCGTGTGTGGTCTGTGTCTCCATCTGGTCGCCCTCGATGCTGTGCGCGGTGGCCACCGTGGCCCCACTCTCGGCCGGAGCCTCCGCCCTCGAGCGCTCAGGGCCTCCGTCTTCGGGCGATCGCATGGGCTCTGAGGT